TAGAACCACTAGACTGAGGAACAGCTTCTACCCTGAAGCTGTTAGACCAAAACTCTCATTAAAACGATTTGTCCTTTTCATGGGAAACAAATTCATATTGACAGTGAAGTTAACACAGTGACAGTTTTTCTATTATTACATTAGTGTCAACTAATAAGTTTGTGAGCTGAGTTAAATAACTGCAAAAACAATGTCTGTTTGTTCCCAAGGGGATAGATGCATCTTATTTTAAACAGTTTCAACAACAACAACAAAAAACCACATGAATGATGTTTGTTTGAGATGAGGTGTTCTTTTTCTGAGGCGGTGTTCCCCTACAATACTGCTCCTATCAACATCATTAGGGTTTAGCGTATATCTTAGAACCTTGTATACTGTTTCTTTTTACACTTTATATTTTTGCTATTTTTGGGTGTATAACTTATCTGGGACCTTGGGTACACAATGTAAATGACAATAAAGAAGCTTGAATCTTGAACCATGACCCCAATTGAGGCAAGTGAGGCTTTTTGTTGTTGTAGTCTCTTCTTGGACCACCTGGATGAACTGTTGATGTGTTCTGGAAATTTTAGTTCAGCAGCCTATCCTGGGGAGGTTCACCCCTCCTCCACCTTTCTTCATTTGTGGGTAAAGGCTCCATTAAAATGATCTTGATTTAAAGGTCTGGCAATAATCAGGCCTGGACATGGCAATGAAACAGAACTCCGTTTAAAAAAATCTAATAATTAATGATTTTACTAAAGGTACAATTACTTTTTCACACAGAGCAAAGTCAGTTGGTATAGTTTGTCCTGTTAATAAATAAAATCATCATTTGAAAACTGCATTTTGTTTTTACTCAGGTAATTTTTGTTTGATCGTAATATCTGTGTGCTGATCTGAAACAGTTAAACGGAATAAAATAACAAATCAGAATAAATCTGTAAGGGGGCAAATCTTCCAAAGCACTGTAGTTCTTGGACTCAAGGTTCAAAGTTCAAATGACAAGCGCTACATCTGCAAATCATTTGCTCTGCTCGTTTTATTCTACTCAGATTTCCACACGAGTGGAGTTTGTTGCCACGTTAGACAATGAGTTTTAGGAAGTTAGCCTTTCTCTGCTTTTATTTGTTTTGTAAGTTGCTAGCTGACAATATGTTAAGTAGCCTCAGGTTGGATGTTTGTATTACTCGTTAAGGAGCCAAATAAAGTGACTACACTGAATAATCATTCATACACACAACTAGAATCATTAGGCTACACACTGTCTGATATATGGCAGATTGGTTATATCTCTTATGAAGCTGAGCCAGTCAACACATAACTAAATAATGTTGTTGAAAACTTCTTCATAACTTTTGTCAAATACAATATCACCTGGCTTATCTTTAGAGGAAAACTGAGAATGTACAGAGCATGTTTGCCCAATTCAACCTTTGTAAGTTCTACTTGATTAAATTAATAATCAAAATTAAATGGATAAACAAAGTCTAGACAAAAAAAGTATGTTTTATTGTAATTTGAGGTCTGCAAGTCAAAACCCCTCCAACAAAGAGCAGATGCAATCATCGTGTTTTGATTTCTGAACACAGCTCCTCCTTATCTGTAATTCCCAAAACAGAAAGCAGTGATGTGTGAAAAGGTCAAATGTTGATCATAACATTAAAATAAATAAAAAAACAACAATCATAGTACTAACTACACGTCAATCATGCAGTACACAGATAAAAAAACACAATTTGAACAAAGAAATATGGACAAACGTTTCCCTCCAGTGTTCATCACATAAGAGCACAGGACAAACATGTCCATAGATGTTTCTGGGTTAGATTTGTGTTTGTTTGTTTGTTTGTTTGTTTGTTTTTTGTGTGTGCATTAAGTTGTCTTTAGTTCAGCACATCTGTTTAATGACAGTGTTTTTGTTGAGCATCTACATTAAAGTACTTTAAGTGCTTTTTGTTGTAAAACTGGACCCTTTAGAGGTCAAATTTAACAGCTACTTTGAATGTGACATATCTTTTTTAAACAATGTGACCACAGTTTTAACATACATTGTGTAGCTTTTGTTATAATGTGTTTGTGTCCCTCTGTTGTCGTGTTTTCTTATTCTAACTGTGCGGTATGACCCATTTCTATTTTGCAGGCAGCCATCCAAAGCTAAAGCTAACTCTAAGTCTAAACAGAGCAATCCTGGCAAAAGGTAATGTGAGGATAAATGATTAATTGGGTAAATAGTTGGTCTCTAAAAAGATCTCCTTCTGCAAAACAACTCACAAAGTGTTGATAAAAAACATTAAAAGTCCTTCCCTTCACTTCCTTCCCATTACGATCAATAGGAGGAGTACTGCCACTCTCAGTTCTGACTGGAATAAAAGTTTAAAACTAAAGGTAGCCTATAGCTTTATATACTATAGTCAGAAAAACAGCCAGTCTGCTTCTGTCCAAAGGCAGTACAAGTTCAAAAGTTTCACAGTCATTGTCTGTACTATTAGCAAAACTTACCATGAATCAATCATTTTAATGAAAATTTCAAACATAAAATAAAGATGTACATCTGCAACTGATTACGTTTAATAGTCAACATAATTTAAGATGGTGCCAAAACTCAAAAGTGGATAGACATCAGTGGATTTGACAGGTTTTGTGAGAAAGTTTGGTGCGGGAGTAGTTGTTAGTTTCACGTTTGAAACCAAATGGTTGGTACTACTCCATCAGTGTTTAACAAAAAATCATTTTAATCTGAAACTGACATGAAAGGCGGCAGGCGATCATTCATGAAATGCTCGTACTTTAATTCTGAATCGTTTAGTTTCCATAACTTGACACACAAATCCAGTTGCTTTGCGAAGTTAATTCTGATTTTCACTGAATAATTTATAGTTTTCTAAATTGTTGATTAAAAACACTTGTTTACTGGATTACTCATCAGTTTTTTATTTTATTTTTACAAAATGCAAGCTTTGCTTTAAAATTGTAAGCTTAACACATGTAAACTATTTATAAAGGTGCAGGCATTGTAACCTTTGGACAGAGCAGCTGTTTCAATAGATGTTTCCTTCTGTTAAATTAAGCTAACCACGTGTAGCAACATATTTTTCTTACAAAGGTTTCCCCTCGTATCCAAATCTAAAGACAAAAAACTTGACTGAATTGTCAACATTTGTTTTATTATGCTTCTGCAAATAATAATAATAATAATAATAATAATAATAATAATAACAATAATACGTTTTATTTGTATAGCACTTTTCTAAATACTCAAAGATGCTTAAGTAAGGTTCATACATGTCTGTTGAAAAAAAATACCATATAGTTTTTTTACAAACACAATTTTGTGATTGTAAACATTAAATTATGATTCATTATGATAAAAAAATGTTTTTGTGTGCTCAAGTAACAGCTATAGTCTTGAAAAACATGTGAATATTTTTCATTACACTCTATTTTAAGTGGTGTGTGTGTGTTTGTGCGTGTGAGTGTGTGTTTACCTGGTTTGTGTTACCTTTTTGTTTGAACATTTCTGGTATAATATGTGTTGTCAGGACCAGTAGTCCCTATATGGACACCAAAGCCCAGTCCTAATATGCTGGAACATCATTATTAGGTCAGCAATTAGGTTTAGGGTCAAAGTATTAATTGAATTTATCCGTTTACGCTAAGGTTTGCATGTTAAGTTAATTGGTAGCTCTAATCAAATTAGAGCTACCAATTAATCTAAAAAAGTTAAATCTGGTCCTCTGGACATTCAAAAAAAACCAAAACAAAGCAAAACAACAAAAAATGTAGAAACGTTTCGTCTCTCGTCCGAGAGACTTCCTCAGTCTGAGGTGCTGTTTTCAGCTCAGTCTCTTAAATAGCACCTTCTCAGAGTGGATCAACCAGTTTTGCTGCTGACAACCAAAACCAGCTGATCACCTGCTCAAGAAGGACCATCAGCCTAACAATGGATCATTAGCACACTGATGGCTGTGTACTATTCACAGAGGGCTGAGTGATACTAGCAATCACAGCATTGTAAGAGGGGGACAATTGAACACGTAGGCCTCCACCCCTGTTTAATGATGGACGGTTTCTTTTCACAAAGATGGCCTCCTTTACTCCTCTCTCAAACCATCGCTCCTCTCTATCCAGGATGTGCACAGGCTGATGGTCCTTCTTGAGCAGGTGATCAGCTGGTTTTGGTTGTCAGCAGCAAAACTGGTTGATCCACTCTGAGAAGGTGCTATTTAAGAGACTGAGCTGAAAACAGCACCTCAGACTGAGGAAGTCTCTCGGACGAGAGACGAAACGCTTCTACATTTTTTGTTGTTTTGCTTTGTTTTGGTTTTTTTTGAATGTCCAGAGGACCAGATTTAACTTTTTTAGATTTTTCTACCTGGATTATTGAGCATGCATCAGGATAGCTACCAATTAACTTAACATGCATGTTTTTAGTCTGTGGGAGGAAACCGGATTATCTGTAGAAAACCCACACATGCATGGGGAGAATATGCAACCTCCACCCAGAAAGGCACCTGGTGGGAGGCAACCCAGTAACATTCTCACTGAGAGGCAATAGCTGTAACCACTGCACCACCTGATTTAAGCTTAGCTTTTTGTATGCAAGCTAAATTAAATTTAGTCATGTAATTGGGGCGGCTGTGGCTGAGTGGTTAGAGCAGTTGTCCTCCAATGCAAGAGTTGGGGGTTCGAATCCACCAGCAGTCACATGCCGAAGTGTCCCTGGGCAAGACACTGAACCGCTCATAGCCTCTGATATGTGTCCCATCAGTGTCTGAATGTGAGCTAAAGCACTGATTAGTCTCTTTAGAATGATTTGTTCAATTAGCTTTGTAGAGATGTAGAGTGCTGTATGAATGGGTATATGAGGCACGGATTGTAGTATAAAGCACGAAAGGTGCTATATAAGTACAGTCCATTTACCATGTAATTATTTGAGGCGAAACAGGAAATGTGTGGTTTAAATACACTGTTAGAGTCATTTAGTCTCTCATCTTTTTCTTGTCTTTGCCCCCATTCAGGCTATATTTGGAGCGTCAGAAGAACAGCTTCTTCATTCACTCTGTGGCATGTACAGGTACTGAGGTCCACCTGGCAGCTTGCCCCATGGAGTTCAGAAAGCCAAATGCCACATCGACCTGCACAGGCGGCATGCCGGCTGTCGTCAACTGCATGCCGGGCCCACAGTTCATGCAGAACAGCAGCTTGAAAAAGAAAGTTAAAGTTTCGGTAATCTTGAAGTGGAGGAATTAAAATATTTAATAATAATTAATTAATAATAATTAATTATCAGCAAATGTTTGTGTGGATCAATTATGTTGTTTAAACTAAATATCCCAAAGTTAACAGCGTGGTAAAATGATATGATGAAATGATTATAGAGATCTGCCAGCATACTGAGACCCTTTTAACCAACTGTTGTTATTCAGAACAATGTGAGGCTGAAAGGAGGTGCGAGGCTGGGTGAAGGTCGGGTGGAGGTGCTTAAAGACAGCAAGTGGGGGACAGTGTGTGATGACCGCTGGAACCTGTTGTCAGCCAGCGTTGTTTGCAGGGAGCTTGGCTTCGGCAGTGCAAAGGAAGCTCTCACTGGTGCACGAATGGGTCAAGGTAAGGATCAAAACCCTGTGAATTAAAATACTAGTTTAGTTCAAATAGCAGTCTAATATGTTCCAGTGTTATGATGCCATAGCAGCTTGATATATAGAACACTTTAAACATCCGCAGGACCAAAGCATTGTACACATAATAAAACAATCATACAATCAGATAATAAAGAATGATTCAAATATCCATCCATCCCTCCATGCATCCATCCATCATCTTCTGCTTGTTCCGATTTCGGGTCGCAGGGGCAGCAGCTTGAGCAGGGAGGCACAGACGTCTCGTACCAGAGCCACCTCTTCTAGCTCTTCTGAGAGGACACCAAGGCGTTCCCAGGCCAACAGAGAGACAGTCTCTCCAGTGTGTCCTGAATGATTCAAATAACTAAAAGATAAATTATGACAATATGATAATAATAAATTATGATAAACACAAATTTTATATGATAGTTCATCTGCTATTCACTGTAAAAATGTATAACGTTGGGGTAAATATTTAAATAAAAAGTTGTTCTCTTTGGTCAAGAGAGTACTTTGCATGAGAAAAATAGCAATCAATGGGATTTTTATCACACTGCCTTCTTTAGAGCTCTGTAGTTCTGGTAGACTTCACGGTAAAAACATTCAGTTCTATTTCGTATAGGCTTCGCCCTTTAAGGCTGTCGCTGATGGGTTTTATCCCGTTATGCGAAGCATCACACTGAAAAATTTAGTCCACGCCCACCTGCTGTGTGGGCCCCACCCAGTCCGTATAAATTATGTTAAGAGCGGGTAATCGGCTCCCATTTTTCTTCAGCGAGCTAATAGCACTGTCAGAAGAACGAAGAAGGAAAGTTGTGTAGATGACCAACCTCTATTAAGAATGCTTGGCCCGTCATGTCGACCTCCGGTCGTCTTGGTGAGCTCTCCTCCCCGAGGAGAAGCTGACGAGCAGTCTTGTTTCAAGGTAAGCGCCGAGGAGTATTTCTCAGTGACAGGTCGCTACAAGCTGGACAACGCCATCTTGTAATTTTCCTCTTATCTCCAACCCTCGGAGCGAATCAGATGGTTCCTCCAGGACAGGCCACGTCAGCAGCAGCCCCCACTGCTCATTCCCTCCTGGAGAGAGTAGTGTCGGTGGAAGGGGGCTGAGCGAATGCTCACCTCATCCCGCCTCGTTTCACATCGGCGATCACACCGCTCCCAGCCGACGTCACCCTCTGGAGTTTGCCCGGCGTAACCCAGGAGGCAGCTGACATGAAGGGACCTTTTTTACATCCCGCGCCTTCTCCGCCAGTTCGGATGATCCGGCGGGAAAGTTTTCTGCGCTCTATTCCGGCTCGCTGTCCTGATCCCATCTGGCCTCGGTTTCCCAGCAGGACGTCCTACGGGGACGAGGCCACAGCCGGTTCCTGGTAGATTGGGGCACCGGTTCTCACAGTCCGCGCCCATCACCAGAGCAGAGGGGTTTTCACCGAGCAGAAATTCCCTCAGTGCCCCCTGGAGCCGAGCCTGACGGAGGCTTTTCTCGGAGCAAGATGTCCAGGGTGGACCAGCGTCCCGCACCTCTGGTTAGCGTAATCCAGATGATGACACCGCTCTCCAACCGAGCTCACCAGCATGCGCTCCAGACAGCCGCAGCGAACAACACGTTACGCTGTTGGCGTACACATTCAGAGGCGGGAGGAGACATACGCTCCTTCTGCAGGGTAGCTGACGTCATCCTCAACCGGTGCGCCTCTTTTGCTCTCTGCCGGCCCGCATCGCAGCCGGAGGACAGAGTTTTCAGCGTTTCCCTGAGACCGCCAACAGATGGTGCTCTAGGACAACAAATCGCAGAGCAAATGACGGCTTTTGCAGAGGATGTGTGTGAAGGTGACACGAGTTTGGATTAAAACATCATTTAATGATGAAAGTGTCTATTTTTAGCCAGTCTGTCAGCTCGGTTGACCTGACAGCGACTCCATCACACATCCTCCACACGAAATGAGCAAGTGGCAACGACGTTCCACGGCCGTCTCGCTGAGCTTCACCGCAGCCCCGCCCGTCAGAGACCGGCCCTCTTCATCCCGGCAACTGAGTGTCCAACGTTTTCCCAGAGATCCCCAGCAAACGGCGCCCTGGGCCAACAAATCCCAGAGCTCACGGGGGAAAAGATTCAAATATGACGGTCTGCGGAGGGTGTGTGTAAAGATGACACAAATGTTGAAATAAAACATCATTCAATGATTTACGTGTCTGTTCTTAGCCAGTCTGTAAGCTCGGATGAACTCACAGCGGCTGTGCACACATCCTCCACACGAAGCGAGCTGGTGTCCTTAAATAAAGGGTTTTTTAAATCACCGCTGCTCTAAAACGAGACAAGATGTTCGCATGACACAACGATGGTAAGCAAAATAACTCGTTTTCAGCCTGAAATGCACAATCTTCACCCGAGCAGTGCCAAACGTGCACTCACACGACGCGAACAGCTGTCATCCTAACGGCACCACGTTGATGGAGGTGCACACACAGTTCCCCGGCGTTCACCGGCTCACATCAGCATTAATATGAGACCGCAGGACTGGTCCGGTGAGGAACCTCGCTTCCAGCGAGAGCAGCATGCGCTACACCAAAGCAAGCGCATGCCTCCGCAGCGCTGACAGCCTTAACTCACCGCTCCTCAGCTCCCGGCCGCTCATGTCAGCACAAGCATGAGACAGCTGAACGAACCCAGTGACGAACCATTGTTCCCAGCAAGAGCGACGCACATCCCACCAAGGAAAACACGTGCTCCTGTGGGGCTCGCAGCCTTCACTCAAACGGCACGGCATGGATGAAGTCGCGCTCACCGTTCCACAGCAACCGCCCGCTCATGTCAGCATAGATGCGAGACCGCGAAGTGAGCCCAGCGCAGGTCCCCGCTCGCGGCAGGAGTGACACGCGCTTCACCGCAGTGGCATCAAATGCGCGCCCCCGTGGCGTCATCAGTTGTCACACGCCTCTCCTGAACACACGCCGGTTTACTTAGACATGAAGGTGGGCCTGCGGTCCGAGCACAGCACACAGGTACGTTCATACCCCTTTTCGAGGAAGCCTCTCCCTGGGTCACACGGATCACACTCCCGTGGCGCATGAAGGCTGTCGAGGCGGTGGACTGAATGACATCCATACACGTTGCAATTTGCAACCCGACCCCCTGTTCGGAAGAATTTTAGAGACGGTCCTGTCATCACCAGACCAAATCTCATTCCTGAATGCAGAAGTCCAAGAACTTCTAGTAAAAGAGGTGATCTCCAGGGTTCCCTACGGAGAAGTAAACACAGGGTTTTACTCTCATTACTTAATGGTTCCCAAACGGACCGGAGAAATGAGAATTTTTGGATTTGTCAGCTTTCGCATGTTGACAACCAAACATCTGTTGGACAACATCCAGAGAAATGACTGGTTTGCCTTCCATTGACCTGAAGACGACTACTTCCACATACCGGTCATTCCAAAACAGAAAATTTCTGCACTTCTCTTTTCAAGGGATGAAGTATCAGTATAACAGGTTGCCGCTCGAAATTCCCTCTCCCCTCGACGTTCTCAAGTATCTGCAAACGGTCCTGCAACCGTTACACAGAGCAGGGATGTGAGTTTTGTTTTTACCTGGACGACCTGCTGCCGCGGTCACGCTCCAGATAGGAAGCAGCGATGCAGGCTCAGGTGTTGACATCACACCTGTTAAATCTGGGCTTCGCCATAAATTAGAAGAAAAGCTAGATTCTCCCGGCCCAGACGATTGTGTATCTGGGAGTGGAATTAAACTCGACCACCATGCAGGCTCGTTTATCACAAACGAGAATCGGCTCTTTAAAAGACCACCTCCATCACGTGAGACCTGGCAGAGTGGTGACAGCTGTTTTCCGTCATGAAGCTGTTAGGAATGATGTCATCAGCTCACACAGTGGTTCCGCTGGATTCTTACACATGAGACGCCTCCAGAGGGGGTTTGTGCACCTGCGTGTGGATCCAGTACAACAAAAGAGATGGATGATCATTGTTCCTCCCTCTGTGACAGCAGACCTCCGACACTGGGAAAACACCCTGTATCTGTCGGAGGGAGCCCCCGTCAGCAGACCCACATCACACGTGTCAGTCTTCACAGATGCGTCACTGTCAGGTTGGGGGGGGAGACATGCCTATCTCAAGCTGTAGGGGCGCTGTGGCCCAATCACACATCAGCCCACATAAATGTTTTGGAGTGTCGCACGTTTTTGAACGTGATTCAACACTTTGCTCCTGTGCTGTAGAATCAACACGTTTCGATTCACACAGACAACAAGGTTACTGTTGCGTACATAAACCGGCAGGGGGGTGTGCGCTCAGACCAGATGTTACACATTGCGCGAAAACTACTGTGTTGGGCACACCAAAATCTGCTCTCCATCAGAGCAGTGTACAGTCCCGGTGTTCTAAACAAAGGGGCAGATGTCATGTCCAGGGGCGGTCCGTGTCACGGGGACTGGATCTTCCATCCAGACCTGATGGCCCAGACGTGGCAGAAATTTTGGCAAAGACCTGTCATGGACATGACATGGACCTGTTTGCGACACGAGAAAATGCTCAGTGTCAACTATGGTTTTCTCTGAGCCCGCGAGACGAACCACCGCTGGGGGGTGGATGCGTTTGCTCACAGCCCATGGCCCAAAATGCTTCTTTACACGTTTCCTCCACCTCCTCTGATTTTACAGTTCTCGAACCGAGTTCAGGAGGAGGGATTGACAGCTCTCCTGGTGGCCCCCAAGCGTGTGAATGCATCATGGTTTCCCAGTCCTGCAACGCCTGCTGTCGGGGCGCCCGTGGAAACTGCTGTGGAGGGAGGATGCTCTCCTCCAGGCAGGAAGAGCGATCAAGAGTTACCCAGAAATAGGCCAGCACCTGTGGGTCTGGCCGCTGAGCGGATCCGCTTAGAGAGGATGGGTCTCCCACAGAATGTAGTGTGCACAATCCAGGATTCACGTGCTGCATCTACCACAGCGCTGTACACATCAAGTGGACAGCTTT